GGGCAGACTCTACTCTTGTTACTATTCTCCAGGAAGGCAGAATCAGAAGCCTACATTTAGAGTACGATTTGTTGCTTTACATGTGCCTAGCTGTTGATATAACCCGCCCGATCATCAAAACCACTCTTGTCTTGGTGATTATCCATTCGTCTTGTAACATCCAAGAACACACTGCATATTGTCTTGGTAATATCAATACTACCCTTGGCACGCCGCCGGTAGCTGTGTACATGCGACTCAATAAACAGTTTCTCGAGGTGGCCCGTCTTCAAGTAATGGTTAACTGTGACATGCCGAACAAGAGCGTGGCGGGGAGTAGTAAAACTATGAATATGCTAAAAAAGGGGATTACGTATAGTTTAAAGCGCTTTGTACGTATTGTGCCGAATGGCAGGGTCGGGTTTCCTTTAGGGGCATCTAACTTAAGAACGTACTTGAACACGACCCGCATACTCTCTCCGCATTGTGAGCCGTCGCGTTTAATGCTTCCCTTGCTTAAGACCTTTGCCACGCACTCGGTGGAATCGTTTCTACAGATTTATAATGTACCAATAGAGCCGTTGGTGGTTTATTTGTCTAAAGAACATAGTGATCTGTATAAATACATGGAGATTTAATACTGTGGGCGAATTATCTAGGAGAGCGGCTCTTGTCTTATCATGGCTCTGTGATGATTCTATCCGTATTACAATCCAGACTATTTATCTAAATTGGCCCCGTCTATTCATTGAGAGTGCTTTCTACACTCTCTTCGATATTTTCAAACGCCTGCCACATATAGCTACGATTGTTATAAGCTTGGGGTGTTTTCCTATCAAACCATTCCTGTCGAAAACTGAAATCGAGGTTGAAACTATCATCTTCAATAACTGTAACGACTCAATGATCAAGAGCTTTGTGACTCAGTGTAAATTTATGAATGAGAATGCGATCATCTATATTATTAAGGGTTCAGTGCCTATGCTACAAAACTCCATTGATAATTGGCAATGCTGTTTGGGGTGCTGGGAGTTTGACTCGGAAAATTCACAACTTCATCCATCGCTCTTCGCTTTGCAGGCTGGCCTTTTACCCTTTAAATTAACCTGCATAAGAACCGAGCACATAATCATTCCAACCCATTCAATCACATAGCCCAAATTGTGTCATATATCTGTTTGGCTGCACAAGCAATATGTCGCTTTATAGTCTTTATTGCTGATTGATGGGCCCAAAAGCATACATTAAACAACTTTGATTTGAATTGTACGTTTTTTGCTCTTATTGGATTGTTTACAGATTAGAGTATGTATATTCTGATCTAATTTTGAATCAAACCCAATAACTAAAATCCAAATTCAACTTGTTGCTTTTTCAAGATGAAGACTTATGATTTCCTTTTATTATTTGGGTTACATTTAGATTGCTAATCTAGCTAGTATCTGAGTTAGTGGTCTTCGAGAATAGGGGTGGCCGCATAGACCAGATCTGATTGCTTAATAAACTAATGGTTCTAGTACATACAATATGGGTTTATACTGGTTGTGGAGAACAAGAGCTTATCATAACAAGTAGATATAATCAGTCAATATATAGAATGATAGTACACCGAGGAGTATGTTAACTAGCTGATTTATTCGACTTAAACGAAAATGACACGAATTGGGCTGGAAGTGTCATAATCTGCTTGTTGCGTCTTTTTAAAACGACGCCAATATGGGGATGGGCAAGAAACGTAGAAGTAGATAGGGCTATCACGCCATGCTATGGCTTTAGATTGCTGGAGCTTTGTGATAGATGTTGAAACATCGCATTCGACAAGAACAAGGTTGGGTAGAGGCGCGTACATGAGCTTATAGGGGGTTTTGCTGTTGAGATATTTCTCACAAGTTGGACATTTTAGTGAGCCTAGGTAGGCCATCTCGATCTTCCATACACATTCAGCACAGAATAAGTGTTCGCAAGCGAAATAGCAGGCTGTTTTAAAGTGCAGCTTTGGATTAAAACCTGAAGAACCTTCCACAGTATCTGGGTTTTCTTTCTTTATCTTCGCTTGGCGCACGCCATCTCCCTCGCTTTCTTCTTCACACGCCTCGCTACCCATGTCATTATCTATATCAACATGCATCTCACTGTCTGTTTTGTTCCCTTCATTTGGCCGATAAAGGCTTAAAGAACACATCGGGCATGTAGTGAAGTTAGAATTCTTTATAGCCGTGGCGATTTTGTACAAGGGTGTCTCAGAATCCATCTCTGTGAGGTCCAGTTTAAGAATTTGAAGTATCATTGTATATCTCACGATAACAATATCAGGACAAAGGATATTAAGTTCCGCCAATATGATATTACACTTAGTGCCGACACATAGATTAATTTCTGGGTCTTTATCTGTTATGAAAGAGCAAATGAAGACATTTATCCCAATGATATAGTAATTGCTGGTTAATATATCCCTTTTCTCATCCTTCGAAACCTTAAG